TCCGACTCTGTTTCTGATAAGAGCTCACGCTGTTCAACCTTAAAAAGAAATGCTCCTAAGGACATATTGGGGGTTACATTTTGTGCTTCCTCATATACTGATTTAATAAATGGAGGCGCCCCGGGTACGAGGTCATCTGGGTCAGACGCGTTGGCGCTGGCCAGGACTGGATGGGCAGTCATCTGAAGAGTACACAGATAAGACATCACAGATAAGACATACAGAGAAACATCATAATTAGTGCCAACAAGGACTGTCGCCCTGGAATCCTCAGGCTGCATGAGGACCGCTGATTGTGGGGGAACTGCCTGAGGCCCCGCTCCAGGAAGCTCCAACCTCAACCCTTCAGCTGCCGGACTCCAGCGCAGCTGCAAGCTTTGCTACAGCTACACAGGTGTCACAGCTGTGGGCGTAGCAGTTCCCCCTTTTCTGTTTTTAAAATGAAGCTCGAACACGTCCTGTTGCACTGTCTTTACAGAAGTATAAAGACACTTAATGAGACAGGGAAAGAGAAAAATGACAAGCACCACCAGTAAAATAAGCACTCCAATGACTATAAAATATTGAATCCAATCCATAGGATTTAAATCTTTGATTCTTTTTTTTACTTTTGATGCTAAATCCTGTAAACCCCCTATTTGTAAGTGAGCCTGACTCATAGCAGAGATATCTTTCTGAAGTGCATCTAAATCATGGGTGATATCTGTATCTTGTTAGACACCTTGTAAATGAGCTTTCACCTTGTCCCAAGGCTGAGAATTATTATAAGGAAGAGGTGTAACACAGATGGACTTAAAACCTCCGTGGCAGCGAGCAGACATTGTGGTCTTGAGATCTGAGATGTCCTGTCCCAAGGCTAGGACAACCTCTTCCAAGACATTAATTTTTGATTCTAATTTTTTGTCTATAGCTTTTTGTTCTAAAAGGGCCATAGTGGCATTCTTATTTAAAGTGTTCACATAATGAGCAGTATGAATTTTTTGCACCAAGGCTGTAGTTGCTACAGCAAAGGTAGTTATAATAGAGATTAAAGCAGTAATGCCCAAAATTAGTGCAGCAACAAACCGCTTTGGCCGAATTAAATCCTTTAAGGCATTTAAAACTTGAAGAGCTGAATCATCAGACCAAGGTTCAGTGCCTAACTCTACAGGCAGCATAACAAAAGGAGGCCGTCGAACTATAATAATAGTTCCCAAATGCTTCTGCTCAGCGGAAGTGACACACTCTGTTAACTTACAGGAATAACATTGTATTTGAAATGAATTACCAACTTGAGAAATATTTACAAATGACTACTGAGCCAATAATAAAGCATTAGGATAAGATGCACAGGCCCGAACACCAATGGCTTCTGATTTTGTATGATTAGGCCTCTTTTCTAACAGCATATTTGCTGCTGCCACAAGAATAAAGAGATCGGGATGTTTTCTAGGGATATTGCCTTGCTTAACAAACCAGGTGGGCTCCACAAGGCCTGGAGAAAACCACCTCCTAAGAGGTTCTCCATGTCCCTCAAAAACATAATTATTAAATTTTTTCTTGTGGGTATTCAGGTAATTTTTATAAGTCTCTCCTTTGTCATTAGAATTAGAGTAGTCCCAAACTTTAAGCACATCCAACGACCCCCGTGGTTCATACCACGCAGCAGCATTAGGAAAGCCACAAGTCAACCAAGCTGGAAACTTGGACAAGGAAGAATCCCAAAATTGATCTTTGTCTCTATATTTTTGAATGCAAGGAGTTATAGGAACAGTATTAACTTGAGTAAAATTATCTCTATACAGTCTGTCTCCTCAAGTTTGTATCCGTAGCTCCCAAACCCATCGGCTACCAGCACTCGCCTTGTCCGGACCGTCAGTCAGGAAGGTTCTGTAAAATGTCGGAAAGCAGCCGTCAGGCACTTTCCCCTGCAACGTCAGACAGATCGGTAGCCAATCTGCTCTGCCCTCAAAATTTATAAGAGAGGAGGAGCTGCTTCGTGCGTCAGAATCCTGAGCACCTCCCAATCTGACTGAATTGTTTAACACTTGAATGGGCTCCCGATCAAGCCATCCTACTGGCTGAATAATCGGGGGATTAGGAACATACACCCAATAGGAAACCCCCTGGACTGCGGGTAATGGAGCTGAAATTAGAGATAAGAAAGCAATAAAATAGAATGAAGCCGTGAGGGGTTTTCCTTGCTCAATCAGCTGCTTCTTTGCGTTCTGAGTCAGAAGCCGAACCTGCGACCAAGTCACTTTCATTTTCTCGCCGCCGAGTTTCATCTTCTTCATTTCCGCTACGAGGAGCTTCTTCTGCTGTTTTCTCCAGCGGCGCTTGCGCCTTCTTTTTTCCTTTTGCAGGTCGGATAAGGCGATCCGGGATCCAAATCGGGGAGTCGGCATCCTGTGGAAAAACACAAGCATACCCTCGTCCCGCGGTTATGAGGACATCCGGTCCCTTCCATGTGCCAGACAATAAATCCTTCCAGTACACTTGTGGCAGTGGAGTTTTATGAAACTCACGGTCCCAATGGATCAGGGCCGCAGTAAATCCTTTGTCATTAGTATTTAGATGGTTGAGGACAAACAAGGCATGAGATAAAACATAATGAGGAGTAAAATATGAATTAGAGGCTTGCAACCTTTCTATTTGTAGCTTTAGATTTTGATGAGTCCTTTCTATAATAGCTTGTTCCTGTGGGTTATAGGGTATTTCAGTAATATGCGTGATTCCCCATTGATTACTAAATTGTTCAAATGCCTTTGAAGTGTATGCCCGTCCATTATCTGTCTTTATTTGTGATGGAAGGCCCATAATCTGAAAGCATTGCGTGAAATGTTGAACCACATCTTTGACTGCTTCCCCAGTTCTGGCTGAGGCAAAAGTGAAGTGAGAATAAGTGTCCACTGTAATATGGACATATCCCATCCTACCAAAGGAGGAGATATGAGTCATATCCATTTGTCAAATGACATTTGGTTTTAAACCTCTAGGGTTTACACCCATTTTTGGTGGGTGATGAATAGGAGGGCAATGTGTACATTCCCTCACTATTTGTCTTGCTTGTTCCCTTGTTATTGAAAACATTTTTTTTAATGCAGATGCATTCTGATGATGTAGTGCGTGACTCTGTTGAGCCTCTTGTATAGTAAAGGTTCCTAATGGAGTCTGAGTTAAAAAATCTGCCATAGCATTACCTTCAGCCAGGGGGCCAGGTAGTTTGTTATGTCCTCTAATATGGCCTACATAAAACTTATGCGATCTTTTCTGTACTAAAGTTTGTAACTTTTGTAAAAAAGGTAATATGGGGGACTTTCCTGACAAAAGAGCAGTTTCCATAGCTGGAAACAAATTAGCTACATATTTAGAATCTGTAAAAAGGTTAAACTCTTGAGGAAACTTCTCAAAAGCTAAAATAGCAGCTCTCATTTCTGCTTGCTGTGCAGAAGTCTTTTCTTCTTCCTCTACCCACAGCCCATGTGTCTGGGTAAAAACCGCAGCTCTTCCTGAGGAGGAGCCATCTGTAAAAATATTTACAGCGTGATCTAGAGGGCTGTGTGAGAACCAGACAGGAAATATTAATTTCACATGCCTTGCAAATTCTATTATAGGATGTCTAGGGTAATGATACAATATTTGTCCTGTATAATATTGTAATGTCAATATCCAATCTTCATTAAATTGATATAAATTTTCCAGCTGTGCTTTATTATATGGAATGATAATAATATGAGGCTCTCTGCCAAATAATTTTTTGGACCGATTACGACCTTTATTTATTAATAGGGAACATAAATAAGGGTAATCAGCTAACATTTTTGCCTGAGTATGTGGTAAATGCAACCATTCCAGCACTCCGTCCTGCCAAAGGCAGGCAGTAGGGGTGTAGGAAGTTGCAAAAATCAATAATGACCATGGCTTATTATAATTTATTTGCTTAACCCTAGCAATGGTCAAGGCTTGTTCTACCAATTGTAATGTATTAATAGCTTCTTTTGTTAATTCCCGTTTGGATCTTGGATCTGAATCACCATGAAGAATGGAGTAAAAAGGGCTTAGCATTCCTGTAGTCATTTTTAAGTAAGGCCTAAGCCAGTTAATGTCCCCTAGAAGTTTTTGGAAATCATTTAAAGTCTTTAATTTATCCCTCCTGATGGAGATTTTTTGGGAAGTAATATAATCTTCCTTAATAACTTGACCCAAATAATTTAATGGTCGGCCCCTTTGTACCTTGTCAGGAGCTATCACAAGGCCATATAGGGTTAATGCTTCAATAGTTTTTTCTAATATTTTTTCTAATTGATCTTTATCCTTATGAGCCAATAATATATCATCTATATAATGTATGAGATAAAGATCTGGGTATGCCAATCTTATTTTTTGTAAGTCCAGATCCACAAATTTTTGACATAGTGTGGGTGAATTTTTTATTTCTTGTGGTAAAGTAATCCATTGATACCTCCTAAAAGGCTGTTTAAAATTCTCTGAGGGAACACTAAAGGCAAAATATTTACTATCTGAGGGATTAAGTTTAATGGTAAAGAAACAATCCTGTAAATCAATGACAATTATATGTCATCCTTGTGGTACAGCCACTGGTGAGGGGAGGCCTGGTTGCAAAGGCCCCATATCCTTCATAACTGCATTAATGGCTCTAAGGTCCTGTAATAACCTCCATTTTCCTGATTTTTTCTTAATAACAAAGACAGGAGTATTCCATGGACTATTGGATTCTATTATATGTCCTTTTTGTAGTTGTTCTTGTACTAATTGTTCCAGAGCCTGTATTTTTTCTGTTGTAAGGGGCCACTGACTCACCCATACAGGCTCCTGAGTAAGCCATTCTATCTTATCTGCATAAAGATGTTCTGCAGTGGCCCCTATGAAAAATTCTGATCACTAATCTGATCTGATGTTACCAATTTTATGTCCATGGAGTCTAGCATGTCTCTTCCCCATAAGGGAAATGGGAGAGAGGGAAGTACATAAGGCTGTATTCGTCCTTCCCTGCCTTCACTTTTCCATTTCAACAATGCAGTGCTTTGCATGACCCCTGAAGCAGAGCCTAATCCTAGCAAAGAGGATCCAGTCTTATGGACAGGCCAACTGCTGGGCCAGTCAGAGGCCGAAATGCATGTCCGGTCTGCACCAGTGTCCATCAGACCCCTGAATTTCCTTCCATTCAATATGATATATTTAAAAGGTCTTTCCCCAAGGTCTTGGATCATAAAGGCCCCTTCGGTGGATCCAAATTGTTCTTGTCCCCTAGTTCCCTTCATAACAGGATTAGGTAATTTTACAAAGGGCAGAAGGACCAACTGGGCCAGCCTTTGTCCTTTATGAATTTGAATAGTTTCAGCTAATGGTTTAACCATTACCTTTATGGTATTTTTTGTATCTGTATCAATTATTCCTGGTAGAACTTCAAAGTTCTTTTTATAGTTAGAGCTTTGCCCAATGACGAGCCCTACTGTCTGGGGCAATAAAGTGCCTTTTACATTAGTGGGAACTAAAGCTACTCCATCCCATCTTGACAAAATCATATCCTTAGTGCTAGCAAAATCCAAGCCAGCCCTCTCAGGAGTCGCCCTGGGCAACTCATGAATGGTAAATTTTGGAGCATCAGGGTTCAACCCTGAAAGAGGTGCTTTTTTTTTAAATCTCCTCTCCCTTGGGTGCGGGGTTAGTAGAACACCCCTGATTCAGTTTTTTGTCTCATCTTTGTCATCAAAACCCTCTTTCAGAGGCGTTCCGTCTTTGTGGAATTTTGATTTACATTCATTCCTCCAATGTTTACCCTTCTTACAGCGAGGACATAGTCCGGGAGCCCCCTCTTTGGGTCCCGTTTTGCCTCCCTGTTTGCAATCTTTTTGCATGTGTCCTTCCCTTCCACATTGAAAACATGTTGGTAATGAGGCGGTTTTCTTTCCACCTCCATATGTCTGTTTAACATAGGCGCTATATTTTTGTCCTTTCATAGCTGTGGCGTAGGCCATTCCTTGTACCACAACCGGTGAGGCATCTTGGCATGTTTTTATATAGTCCTGCAAGGTTCCAGTCTTTCTAATCAGATCTTGGCATAGAGCATTGGCATTTTTCCAAGCTAACTGTTTCAAAAGGATATCCGTTCCTTCAGAAGGAGGGAGCATTCTGGACACAGCTTCTTCAAGCCGGGCTATATATTCTGGATAAGGCTCCTCAGTGCCTTGCCTAATGCTAGCCAATGCTCCTCCCTTGGTTCCCTGAGGAGGAATCTTACGCCATGATTGTACGGCGTTGGTTGTTATTAATTGTAAGATATCTCTAGGTATCTTAGTTTGAGACTGTGGGGTGGCGAAATCCTCCGTCCCCATAAGCATTGACATAGTGGGCTTAGGGCCACGTTTTTTGAGAGACTGTACCACAGCTTTTTTACTCCTGTCTTCATACTCAGTCCTCCAGAGGATATAATCCCCGGGGCTGAGAGTGGCTTTTGCGGTTTGCATCCAGTCATAGGGTGTTAACCACGAGCTGGCAACCGCATCCACTATTTGTAGTGTGTGGGGAGCAGAAGCCCCAACACTTTTTACTGCAGATTTCAATTCTCTTAACACCTTTAATGAGAGGGGTTCCCATACAGGACCCTCATCCTCCCATGATTCTGTAACAGGAGACACCCCAAAAGAGGCGTCCCCCGTCCTGCGTGCCTCTGCCATAGCTCCCTGAAAGCCAACAGGTGGCAAAGGAGGATATTTTCTTGGCTTTGGCACCGGTCGCTTACTGGCTGCAGCGCCGATCACTTTGAGAGAGCGGGGATTATTGGTATGATCCCGATAACCATCTTCCCATTCCCGCTCTGCTTGTTGATCATCAAGGCCCCGATCATCATTAGTGTCTTCTATTTTCCTAGTGCTATATTGCAGAGGAGGAGCAGAGGCTGTAAGCGGCATACGTTCCTCCTCATCTCCTTCCTCCTGGCCTACTTCATCATAAATAGGGGATTCCCCCGGATCAGAAGCAGTTTCCCTGCAAAGTCCCTGAAACGGGGTTGTCTCTGACAAGAGATCTCTCAAATGAAACCATAATTGAAATGCCTGTGGAGGCAGAGTCTTCTCACCATTTGTCTGTACATATTTACGCATCTCTATCCCCACTCTCTTCCATTCATCTAAAGTCAAGGAGCCTTCCTCAATGAACCAAGGGCTAGTCTTTCTTAGAAATTCAATAAACTGTTCCACATCTGAAACTGATGTCCGGAACCCTGATTTGGTTAACATGCGTTGTATAATAGTAACCAACATTTTCTCATTCTTAGTCAATGCGTGCCCCATGATTCCTTGATTACTTACTCTTAACCGGTGATCCTTTACCGGCGGGACTACAGCTCCCTGGTAAGAACCGTACCTGACTTCTGAAGAAAAGAGAGAAAAGAGGGGAAAGATTACCTGTCCTTCAGGTCCCTGTTCGGGCGCCACCTGCCGCAGACCACCCAGAGGGAGACCACCACTGCGGGAGAACCAGGGAGAAGGCTCGAGGAGAAGTCTGGAATCGGCGAGGAAAATGACAGACAGACACACAAGGGATTGTTGTACTGC